ACACATACCTGATATCCACCTAAACTACGAAACTACAGAGATAACAATAGAACAGAGACTACCTCATATCCACTACACTAGAGATTCAGGATAACAATGAACACAGTTACCTGATATCCACTACAACTAGAGATTCAGAGATAAACAATGAACATAGTTACCTGATATCCACTACAACTAGAGATTCAGGGATAAACAATGCACACAGTTACCTGATATCCACTACAACTAGATATTCAGAGATAAACAATGAACATAGTTACCTGATATCCACTACCACTAGAGATTCAGAGATAAACAATGAACACAGTTACCTGATACCCACTACCACTAGAGATTCAGATAAACAATGAACACAGTTACCTGGTATCCACTAGAACTAGAGATTCAGAGATAAACAATGAACACAGTTACCTGACAACCACTAGAACTAGAGATTCAGAGATAAATAATGAACACAGTTACCTGATATCCACTACAACTAGAGATTCAGGAATAAACAATGAACACAGTTACCTGATATCCACTACAACTAGAGATTCAGAGATAAACAATGAACACAGTTACCTAACATCCACTACAACTAGAGATTCAGGGATAAACTATGTGCATGGTTACCTGATATCCACTACAACTAGAGATTCAGGGATAAACCATGTGCATGGTTACCTGATATCCACTACAACTAGAGATTCAGAGATAAACAATGAACACAGTTACCTGACATCCACTACAACTAGGGATTCAGGGATAAACAATGAACACAGTTACCTGATATCCACTACAACTAGAGATTCAGGGATAAACCATGTGCATGGTTACCTGACATCCACTACAACTAGAGATTCAGGGATAAATCATTTGCATGATTACCTGATATCCACTATAACTAGGAATTCAAGGATTTAGTATGTAGAAAGACAGGTGTAGTAATCTGTAGTGGTGGATAGAAAGAGACCAGACATGATGATATTTGAAATCAAAATTAATATTTCCCAAAGAAAAAAGTAAAAAATGAAAAAGCTGATTATTCAGAGGAAAGAACTACTAAGTTGGATAAAATAATTAAAGTAAACAGGTTAAGAGAATAAGCTATATCTGAACAAGAAAATCACTCCGAAATGTTTTGTGTGTAGCAACCAATCTACTATACATACCATACAACTCCTCACTCTCAAAACTGTAGGTCTTGGTGCCTAAATCCCCTATCAGTCTCAAATTGTTCTCGAGTTCACAAACAAACACACACAATGGAGTGCAAACTATACCTCCTCCTGCAATCGTGTGTGTGGGGAGGTAGATTGACCTGTATAAATACATATGATCAGCAGCAAGAGTAGAAGAAGAAAAAGTGAGACAAAGAATTCTACTTGCAAAGATCAAAATATTATTTACCTGAAACTGCTAAAACAACATTCACAAGGTACCTTCTCTTTATAGCTGAACAATAACGATACTGAATCACAAGAACCCAGAAATATTCTGTCACAAAGCAG